TTGGTGCATGACGAAAACACAAATCCTCACTCAAACTTCCAGCCACCATCAGCCTCACTACACCTGCCTCCCCATCAATCTAGAAGACTGAGCAAGGACCCCACGTCCACTCCCACCAGCCAACAGTGTCAATAAACGAACCTCTGCCAGTTTTGTCAGCAAACTTCCGTACACAGAGAACAGACTACGGCGGGGAAAGAGCAGCAGAGCAGAAGCAAAAGCTTCGCAGAAACACTTTGGTCAGAAGAACTCACCGGGAGAGGGGCGGGGTCCGCCTGCTGGGCACCGGCAGGTTCCTCGTCTCCGAGCAGCGGCGCGGGCTCGTCGGGCGGCGGCCGGGCCGGCAGGGTGTCGCAGCAGCTGTCGGCCGAGAAGCGGAGGTGGCTCTTGCGCGAGTCGGCCGTGAGAGACACGTCGTGCGAGTAGGAGTGCAGGAAGGCGCGCACGCCGTCGATGCCCACGAAGTGCGTGGCCGGCACGCCGCGCAAGGCGCCGCTGCCCGCCGCCAGCAGCTGCTGCTGCGAGCGCCGCCAGCGCCGCAGGCGCAGCGCCAGCAGCAGCAGCAGGAAGGCGAGGAACAGGCACGACACGGCGGCCACGGCCAGCACCAGCCAGCGCGTCAGGCTGCCGCCCGCCTCGCCCGCCCCCGCCTCCGCCTCCGCCCGCGCCGCGCTGCCCAGCTCGGCCAGCAGCTCGGCCACGCTCTCGGCCAGCACCACGCTCAGCGTGGCCGTGGCCGACAGCGCCGGCCGCCCGTGGTCCTTCACCAGCACCACCAGGCTCTGGCGCGACGCGTCGCGGGCCAGTGGCGAGCGCGCCGTGCGCACCTCGCCGCTGTGCAGCCCCACGCGGAACAGCCCCGGCTCCGTCGCCTTGGCCAGCTCGTACGACAGCCACGCGTTCTGACCCGCGTCCGCGTCCACCGCCACCACCTTGGCCACCAGCGCGCCGGCCTCGCTCGACCGCGCCGCCAGCTCCACGCCCGCCCACCCCGAGCCCGACACAGCCCCCGCCGCCGGCGGGTACAGCACCTGCGGCGCGTTGTCGTTCTCGTCCACGATCACCAGCCGCACCGACACGTTGCTGCTCAGCGCCGGCGAGCCGCCGTCCTCCGCCCAAACCCACAGCCCCACCTCGCGCACCTCCTCGTAATCGAACGAGCGCAGCGCGTACAGCGCGCCCGTCTCCGCCTGCACCGACACGTACGACGACAGCGGCCAGCCCCGCACACCACCCTCCCCCAGACGGTACCGCACGCGTGCGTTCTCCCCCCAGTCCGAGTCCGTCGCCCGCACCCGCAGCACCAGCGCGCCCGCCACGTTGTTCTCCGACAGCCGAGCGCTGTAGCGCTCCTGCGAGAACACCGGCGCGTTGTCGTTCACGTCCAGCACCCGCAGACACAGCACCCTGCTGCTCTGCAGCGACGGACCACCGCCGTCGGCCACCCGCACCGTCACGTTGTACTCCGACTCCTGCTCCCGGTCCAGCTCTCTCGATGTCACCACGCGGTAGTAGCTGCCCTGCGAGCTCTCCAGCCGGAACGGGAGTCTCCCGTCGAGGGAGCAGCGCACCTCGCCGTTGGCCCCGGAGTCGCGGTCCTGCACGTGCAGTAGGGTCACCACAGACCCCGTCGGGGCGTCCTCAGAAATCTCACTCAACGCGGTTCTCACCGAAATCTCGGGCGCATTGTCGTTCACGTCCGTCACAGTGATAATAACTTTAGCCGTGTCAGAGAGCTCTCCTCCATCATGTGCCTGCACCTCCAGTTCATGGAAGGAGATTTCGTCGAAGTCCAAATCATCTTTAAGGGTTATTTCTCCTGACTCGATATTCAGATAGAAAAGTTCCGACGCTCGGTCTGAAATTTTATGGAAAGTGTATTTCACGTCCCCATTCAAGCCCTCGTCGGGGTCGGTGGCAGTGACGGTGACAAGGACGGAGCCCACGGGCACGTCCTCCGGCACACGCACCGTGTACTCCGCCTGGCTGAACACGGGCGCGTTGTCGTTCGCGTCCAGCACCGTCACGCGGATCCGCGCCGTGCCCGTCCGGGACGGCTCGCCGCCGTCGCTCGCCCTCAGCACCAGCTCGTGGAACGCCGCCTCCTCCCGGTCCAGCGCCTTCGCCAGCACCAGCTCAGGATGCAGATCCCCGTCGGGGCCCGTCTGCACGGCCAGCGAGAAGTGCTCGTCGCCGCTCAGCTCGTAGCTCTGCAGGGAATTCTGTCCCAAGTCCGGGTCATGAGCCTCGGGCAGGGGAAACCGCGACCCCGGGGCTGTCATCTCGCTTATTCTCTGTTCCAGCTCATTATCCTTGAAAGAGGGCGCGTTGTCGTTAATGTCCCTGATTTCCACTTCAATTCGGTAAATCTTCATTTCCGCCTCCATTATCAGCTCACAGCGCAGCACGCATTTCTCCACCAGCCGGCACAGCTGCTCTCTGTCGATCCTCTCGGCCGTCACTAAATGTCCCGTCTTCCCGTGCAGAGCAAAATACTGCGTCCTACCTCTGTCTATGATGCGGACGCCACGGTCTGTGAGCGCCGGCATCTGCAGCCCCAGGTCCTTGGCCACGTCGCCCACGAACGAGCCCTTGGGCATCTCCTCGGGCACCGAGTAGCGCAGCTGCCCCCACGCCGCCTCCCAGGCCGCCAGCAGGACGCCCCACAGCAGCACTCGCTGCCGCCGGCCCCAGCGCCTCCCCGCCGCGCACATCTCCGCCGCCGCACCGCCGGCACCGCAACACCGCCGGCAGATTCCCGCCGCCGATCGCCGATCTGGTTTCCGTTCCGGCTCCGACTCGCAGCTCCTGGCCGCTCTCGCTGCGCCCCAATGCCTCTGTGAAACACGGCTCCGCGGCCCAGGGAAGATCGCAGACCGCCCGGCTGCCGATGCAGGAATCCAGCGATCGAGCCGGGCCGCAGCGGGCGGGGCTGCAGCGCTCCGACCTTCCTCTCGCTCCTCTCGGTCAACAGCGGCGCCCGCAGCCTCCTCCCGGCACTGCACGCACCGAGCGCCAACGAGACATGCCCGCCCTGCCATGGAAACGTGCGTCCCCTTCCACACTGCACCTCCTTCCTCGGAATTCCTCCATCCGATCTCTGCTTTGATCCTCCAGCTCAACACGATCAATTAGAATTAACACGCCTTCTCTCGTCGCGGTATTTCTAATCGCACGGGAAATTTTTATTGTGATATAATAGGAATTGCTCCTGATATGACGTGCAAAGCGTTATCAGCATTTTGCGTTAATCTCGAAAGCACCAGCTCCCATCCCATTTCACAACGTAGCTTGAATGCAGATCAAACCAACGTTATAGGCTTGGGGACTAAAATACCCCCAAGAACAGTCCAAATGAGCAGTCCTCACATCCTGCACTACAGGGACAGAACATCATCTCCCCCTTTCTGCCGACTAATAGACCCTCACTGGAACGCTGCCAGCATAGAGCCCGACCGATATAATACAAAAAGCAATGAAGACCCACCCAATCGCCTTAGAGATTGCTCTTAGCTCTGGTCTTTTAACTTTCACCTCCACATAAGAGACTGATCTGAATCAGTTTGGTCTGAATCAAACCTGTATAAGTCGCCCTTTTCCAAACACTACGACAATTTTTTCCTTAAAGACTTACACAGTTGAGGCTGTGCTTGGACTTTGGACATAGTGCTCAGTTCGAGAGTAACTCAGCACCCTGCAGCGGTGCTCATCCACATGCATATCGGGGGTCCATAATAAAAATAAAACAACTAGCACTTAGCACACCTTTGTCATTAAACGCTATCAAGTAGGAAAATATATAATATCTAAGAGGACATGATTAGAAATAAAAGACCGATTGAGAAAAACAGCAACAAAAAACGTTCAACCTCCTCCAACAAACGAACAAAAACCCACCAGCGCCATGTGATTTTCTTCTTTAGATCGCATTGTACGCCTATGTAGAACAGGCAGTTCTACAGAGGCGGTAAACAAGAGCCAACTACCACTCAGGCTGAAGCCCAAAATGAGAAATAACTGCACGAACAGATTAAGGAAGTCAAGGTAAAAAAGGAAAAAAAAAAAAAAAAGAATTATCAAGCCCACTAACGCTTCCATTTCTGCAGATGCCTTCAACAAAAGATGGGAGAGGACACGGCAGAGAGGAAAAAATGCAGTAGGGAGGAAAAATATCTAACGTCCCCTATCATCGAGGCACATACACTTTCATTTGGTAGTCCAACACTGAAACAGCATTAACCAATGGGGTTTTGTTAGGCTACCACAAAGCTGAAAATACATCACTTCGGGAAAACGAGATACTGAAAGAAAAACGTCAATCCTATTTTCCTGAGCTAGTCTTGTAGAATTAGGGGAAGTCATTCTAAATATTCGCCCTTCTCCGTTAATAAACCATAATATTTCGTGCAAGTTACATTGTCAGACACGTTTTCATCTGAATCTGAAACTTTCTGTTCTGAGTGGAAAATTAAGATAGGCACAATATCAATCGGAGCAGCAGAAGTTGAACGGCAAGAACATCCCCGATGAATCTACACGTGACAGAATAACACATCGGATAGCTGATGAGAAGTGGCGGGTCACAGGGCTTGCTACTAAAACAGACGCAGCATAGTATTATTCAAATTCTTTCAAAGAAACGCAGGTCAGCACTAATCACTCCAGCAGAGAAACGAAGGTGAAGGACCCAGTGCCGCCAGCACCCCGTTACGAAAGATTCAGAGAAAGAGTGCACGAGCTTACAGACCTGCGGTACAGCAGTACCAACGGGTTTGCACCAGAGAAATAAGCTCTGGAAAAAATAAGTCAGACTCAGTAGTGCTACGATTTCTAAGAAGACAGACGATAAACGGTGGGGAAAAATATAGAACTTGCAACACCAAAATAGCAGTAGTCAACCAGGTCCCAGTACACCAGTGCGGGAAAAGGAGATTCGAAGAAGAAATCTCAAAACTCAGGCGTCCACCTAATTTTTTGTAACGCAACATCAGTACTCTCTTGCGTACACCGCTATTAGTTCTAAAGAGAGCTCTGGTCAATGCTTTTCACGTGAACCAGAACCTGTTAACATCTAAGTAGCAAATGCAGAGACTGGCTACTTGCTGCGTGTAGAACCAATATAAAGTATTTAAATCAGTTGCGAACTAAAGAACCTTAACAACACGTCCTGGGAAAATCGAAAGGCATACGGGACGCCGGGCCAGAGGTTCCAGGAAAAGAGAGAGAGCACGCGGATATACACACCTGCGGTGCGTTGGGGTCGGCAAGTGGCTCTCCCACGACGGCGCTGCTGCTCAGACTCGGCTTCTCGCAGGGCTCCCCGACCACAAGCTCCTCCGCGGGCACGATGGGCAGCGGCGGCGGCGGCCAAGCGGCCTCGGCGGCCAAGCGGGGCGGCGCCGCCACGCACAGGTTGTAGGAGTAGGGCAAGGTGCCCTCGCAGAAGTCGGCCGGGAAGGCGGCGCCGGCCAGCGACAAGCGCTGCGCGCCCAGGCAGCGCAGCACGCCGGGCGGCCCGGCCCGCCGCAGCCGCGCCAGCACGGCCAGCGCCACGCTCAGCACCAACAGCGCCGACCGCAGCGCCAGCGCCAGCACCAGATAGAACTGCAGCTCGCCCGCCGCCTCGGCGCCCGCCGCCCGCTCGCTCAGCTCCGGCAGCGCCTCCTGCAAGCGCTCGGCCAGCACCACGTGCAGCGTGGCCGTGGCCGACAGCGCCGGCTCGCCGTGGTCCTTCACCACGGCCACCACGCGCTGCTTGGCCGCGTCCCTCTCCGACACGGCCCGCGCCGTGCGCACCTCGCCGCTGTGCAGCCCCACGCGGAACAGCGCCGGCTCCGACGCCTGCACCAGCTCGTACGACAGCCACGCGTTGCGCCCCGCGTCCGCGTCCACCGCCACCACCTTGCCCACCAGGTACCCGGACGACGCCGAACGCGGCACCACCTCGAAAGCCGAACCCACCGAGCCCGACGCCGCCGGCGGGGGCGGGTAGAGCACCCGCGGCGCGTTGTCGTTCTGGTCGAGCACGAAGACGCGCACCGTGGCCGTCGAGCTGCGCGCCGGCGACCCGCCGTCCTGCGCCCGCACGGCCACCAAGAACTCGCGGCACTGCTCGTAGTCCAACGAGCGCTGCGCGTACACCGCGCCGCTCCGCGCCTCCACCGACACCAGCGGCGCCGCGCCCGCCGCGCCCGCGCTGCCGCCCGACAGCCAGTAGCTCACGCGCCCGTTCGCGCCCGCGTCCAAGTCCCGAGCCACAACGCGCAACACCAGCGCGCCCACCGCGTTGTTCTCCCGCACGTACGCGCTGTACGACGCCTCCTCGAACACCGGCGCGTTGTCGTTCACGTCCGACACCTCCAGCAACAGCTCCGCGCTGCTCCACAGCGCCGGGCTGCCCCGGTCCCGGGCCACCACCGTCACGCGGTGCTCGGACGCCTGCTCGCGGTCCAGCGCGCTCGCCGTCACCACCTTGTATGAGCCGCCCGACGACGCCACGATCGACAGCGGTGCCTCTCCCGACAGCTCGCACGACACCTCACCGTTCTCGCCGGAGTCGGGATCGTTCACGTTCAGCAGGGCAACCACGGTGCCGGCTGGTGAGTCCTCGGGCACGGGGCTCGACAGCGACAGAATTGTGATTTCGGGGGCGTTGTCGTTCATGTCGGTTATATCTATTTGAGCTTTGCAGTGAGCCGTGAATCCGCCCCCGTCCCTCGCCTCCAGGCTGAAGCTGTATTTACTTTTCTCCTCGAAATCGAGAGGACCCGCTGTCCTGACCTCGCCGCTCTCGCTGTCGACAGTGAACAACTCACGGATCCCGGCCGGGACGTTACTGAAGGAATAGGAGACCCGCCCATTGGATCCCGCGTCAGCATCCGTGGCCAGCACTCGCAGCACCAGCGAACCGGCTGGAAGATTCTCCGCCACCTGCGCCTCGTAGATGCTTTTGCTGAACACAGGCGGGTTGTCGTTGGCGTCCGTCACGTTGACACGAATCTGGACTGTCCCGGATTTCCTCGGATCCCCGCCATCCACTGCCGTCAGTATCAGCTCAAAAGAACTCTGCTTCTCCCGGTCCAACGCTCTCTCCAGCACTAATTCAGGCTGCTGGGTTCCGTCCGAGCTCTCCTTCACGGCCAGAGAGAAGGACGGGTTGCTGGTGAGCTCGTAACTCAGCAGCGAGTTGCTTCCGGCGTCTGCGTCTCGGGCCATCTCAAGGGGAAAACGAGTCCCGGGAGCAATCCATTCACCGATCTCGAGCTCCAGAGCATCCTTGCTGAAGGCAGGGGAATTGTCATTCACGTCCTCAATGGCCACTTCGACACGGAAGACGTTGAGCGGGTTGTGCACCAGCGCCTCGAAGCTGACCGAGCAGGACAACGACTCGCCGCACAGCTCCTCCCGGTCCAGCCTCTCGCTCACGTACAGGTTCCCGTTCTCCTCGCTCACCGTGAAGTATTTCAGCTGCTTTTTGCCGGCAGACGCCACCCGCAGCTTGCGCGCCGGCAGCTCGTCGGCGCTGAGCCCCAGGTCCCGGGCCAGCGGCCCCACCAGCGAGCCTCTGGGCAGCTCCTCGGCCATGGAGTAGCGGAGCCGCTCCGCCGCCGCCCGCCAGCACAGCCACAGCAGCACAGCGCCCAGCACCGCCGCTCGCCCGCCGCCCGGCCCGCCGCTCGGCCTCCGCCCGCCCGACATCGCCCACAGCGCTCGCTCGCCGAGCTCGCCAGGCTCCTGCCGCCGCCCCGCCTCCCTCGCAGCCGCTCGGCGCAGCCACAGCAGCGCCCGACAAAGCAAACCCGGACCGCCGCCGCCTCCCACTCGCACGCCTCTGCTGCCCGCGCCGCCTCTCGCCTCTGCTGCCCGTGCCGCTGCCGCTCTGGCCCGCACTGCCCGCCCGAGCCAGCAGCCTGCGGGGACAGCACGCACAGGCGGCGGCGGCGGCGGCTCCAGCAACGCTCGCCGGCGGCCCAACAGCGGCACCCGGAGGCGCCGACACAACACTGCAGCCGCCTCACGCCCGCGCTCGGCGGGGAACAACTTTGGCCCGGGATGGGGCTGCAGCGGCCCTGGGGTCTCTCGCGATTCCAATCAGCAGTCAAAGCAGGACCTCCTTAATGTGCTTCCTAAGGCCTTTGGAAATGATATGCGCTGTCGGGTGCTTTTAAGTCATTATCACAATGAATAATCAGAAGCAAATATTCATAAATATTCATAGCAGAATGATAAGGAAAGGAACAGAGTTGCTCTTAATAAAACCAGGCCCAACTATAGGACCAATAAACGATAATATAGGGAAGACTTCAAGAGCATTTTTGAACTGTGTTAGATCTTTTGAAATCTTCTGCATTTATTACCTGGGATAAATTAACCCGAGAAATGGATCAGCCTAAAGCAATGGAAGCCATCTCTATGCTAAGATAGCACAATAACAGTTACTCTTTTGTTTGTGATTTCTGAAATATCATTCTTTTCCTCTCCATACTTGAGGGGCTGACAATGGGAAATTGCAAAGCCACACCAAGTTCTTCATAGATTCAAACAATGGTTTTGGTTGGAAGGGCTCTTTCAAGGTCACTGAAAGCATGCATTGCTCTAGCTGGTATCTCACAAAAAGAGCTTAGAGGGAGTGAACCACCCCTATCACCCTGTTTGCCTTATTACCTCTTATACTGTGCAGGATACAACATTCTTTCTGAGCAGCACATGTCTGTTGCCAAATCATGTCCCATTGTATCACCCACCAGTAACCCCATGTACTTCTCTGCAAAGCTCTTCCCAATTCCCTACTCCCTACTGAACCTGCAGATTGCCCTGACCCAGGTGCAGAACCTTTCCCTTGGCCTTGTTGAACTTCAGGATGTTTTCACTGGCCCACTCCTCCAACCTATCCAGGTCTCTCTTGTTGGCATCTCTGCCCTCTCGTGAATCAACTCAGCTTGGTGTCAGCTGCACATTTGCTGAGGGTGTGCTCAATCCCAGTGTCTATGAAGATACTAAACAGTACTGCTCCCAGGAAGGACTCTGCAAGGACAAGTTGCAGGTTTGCACTTGGACATTCAGCTGTTGTCTAGAACTCCTTCAAGGTGACTATCCAGCCAGTTCCTGATCCATGTAACAGTCTCCAGATGAGTGTCCAGCATGTTCTGGGCAACTCTGTGAGAGACACTCTGCACATACTCTCTCACCAGCCCCTGGTCTGTTTAGAGAAGCCTTGGCTTCACTGGGTGACCACTGCATTTGGAGGACTGCAGTAGAGGTGGTTTGGCACTGTTACACTACAGACAAGTGTGCCTGGGTGAGCACATCGGCCTGTGAAAGCTTCCCCTTCACAGCTGTAAACATCACAGGTGTGTGCAGGAACTGCACCTGCACTGGGACAATTGGAAGTGACCTTCCACATAAGAGCAGACAGCCTGAGGTTGAGCTCATGACACTAAGAAAGGCAAGAGTTGGGAACACACAGAAAGGAACAGATCAGGTGTAACAATATTTCATAGGCCTCACTTACTGTGCCAAAGCAGCTCAGATTGCATGGTACCCCAGCAGGTACATGCAGGTACCTGTAACACATGATAAGAAAAGTAATGGCCATGTCCTTCTACAACCTCACACACAGAGCTCTCCTGTCTTCTCTTTGCTGCTACACAACTGGCAGCTTTGCTTGTGACCCTCTCATTGCTGGCAAAATTTACCATGAGATGATAATGCACTACAAGAACACCAAGAAGGGAGGGACATCTGCCTGCTCACCACCATTCTGAGAAGAAATGGAAGGATTCTAAACACTGAAAATTATAAACCCCCAAAATAAAAGAGGAGTGGTCATCCAACAGAGAATGGCTCATCAAAGGAATGACTAAGAGTGAATCTTCAGCCTTCTTTTACCACACACACTGTTCCACACACTCACAGCTTCTACTAAGGTAATGTTTACATTTATTTGTCCTGACAGTAACAAAACTCAAGACTACCTTCACGTCTCCAGCCTTTCACACCTGCTGTAGCATGAACAAGAGGCACTAACACACCGTGCATTGCTGAATGAAGCGATGCTGATAAATACAAGGAAACCTGCAGATATGTGAAACTAAGAAACAAAACCCAAAAATGTAAATCAGAGAAGCAAGGCCGAGAAGCATGAGGAGACAAGGGGTGATCAGAGAACCTCACTGGGAAATCTTCGGGCTCTTCACTGGAATTCATCTCTGAAAGCACTTGGACGTCACTGAGCTCTCAAGTTGCAAGTGCAGCCCTAACATCTTACACTGGACTACCTAGTTATGGGATTCATTTTAAGAAAGAGTCCTCAGCTCTCAGCAATTCTACTGGGTGGCCTGCTCACCTCCCACAGATATCAAGCAGTTTCACAAGCTCAACCTTCAAAGAAATTACAACAGATTCCCTTTTTGCTTTTTCTCCATATTCCTCACACACAAAATTCTGCTTGAGGTGGCTGAAGGAAGCATTTGCTGCCAAACCACAGACACAGTTTCAAAGGCAGAAGCACTGACCAGAAATGCATAAAAACCCCACGACCTTACAAGAAAGCAAGTCCTGAAAGAAAGTCTGATTGCAACTAAGAAGAAACTCTACAGCACTCTACTCTGCAGAGATACAAATGGATAATCAAAGTTTCACATAGGAAAGGTAATTTATTCTACACATCCATCATGGTTCTACAAGCACAGTTTTTCAGGAAATCCTTCATTGCTGGAGGACTGTCAATGTATTTCAGGACAGGGATACCAGGACAAAAGGAAACACAGCACAGACCTTGGCCTCAGACTTGAAATCAAACTATTGACCAGTCAAACCCACACTGACCCAACCATTTTCCTCATTCAAATTCAGCCTCTCCATTTCCTGGCTCTGCATTCACAGCCTTGGGTTGCACCATGGGCAATACCCAACTTCTGACTACATGGCAGCCTCAGCAAAAAGAGCATTTCATTCAGTCCCATGTTAGAGAAACAGATATTCATCAAAGTGTTTGTCTTAGTTGAGGTCCACCTTCAGGGTATGGAGAAGAACTTCTCTCCCACCCTGACAATCACAAGATGTCTTTTGGTGTTTCACACTGAATCACAGAATCAAGAGTTGGAAGAGACCCTCAAGATCATCTGGTCCAACCCTCAGCCCAGCACTACCACAATCACCCCTAAACCATATCCCCAAGTGCCAAATCCAAAGGTCTCTCCAACACTTCCAGAGAGGGTGACTCCACCACCTCCCTGGTCAAGTTATTCCAATGTTTGATCACCCTTTCAGAAAAACAAACAAACAAAGAAAATCAAATATGTAATCTGGATCTCCCATGGTACAGCTTAAGACCATTTTCTGTTCTTCTTTCCCTTAAGACACGGAAGGAGACCAACCTCCACCTCACTACAACTGCTTTTCAAGTAGTTTGGTTGGAAAGGTTCTTTCAAGGTCATTCAATCCCCAGCTCTACCATGGGCAGGAACCCTTTCCACTGGACTAAAACACTCAAAACCTCATCCAAACTCATCGAAACCTCACCCAACCAGAGAAATGAGGTGCCCCCTAAGCTTTCTCTTCTCCACAATAAGTAACCCCTCTTATCTCAAGAGAACTGAGATATCTGAGCTGCTCCTCAGAAGCTTCAACAGCTTTGGTTTGTTCACAGCATTGCCAGGCACAGGGAGGACCAGCTTTACTCCTTGACACAAAGCAAACAAAGAAATAAAACACAGCAAGAGTGAGAAACCACCAGAAGTGTTTGAACCACAGATTCACATTTCAGATTGTGTCAGCTCTGGTAGGAACACAAAGGAAACTGGTTGGGAGGAAGTACACAGGAGGCTCACACAGGAGGCTCACACAGGAGATCACAGCATAGACCCCAGACACACTCATGTCTATGGTAGTGGGAAAACAAACAAGTTTGGAACCACAGCTGTGGCCTCATCCAACAACTGGATCAAAATGGACCTTTACACCTCTCTTTTAGCCACCTCACACTGTGCCAGAGTGAACTCCTGCACCAGCCTTTTCTCTGGACAGACAGAACTCTTTTCCACATCCAAAAACCACACCACAGGAAAGTTAAATCTGCAGACACACACCAGTACAAGAAAAGTTGCACACACAACTTCTTAGATCCCAAGCATCACAAAAAGATTATTCTGATCATTCCAATAATTTGAATAACTTTAAAATGTTATACAGAGCAAAAGCAATCAGCAGCTCAGTTAAAAACCCAGTCATCACAGTAGCAGCTCAAAGGGAACATCACACATGGGCTCTTTGAAAGCTCTACCACTCATAATGTAAGATGTGCTGAACCCAAAACTTGGCCATTTGAGTCCAAACCATGCAATATTAAAAAATAAGACTCTTTCTGACTTATTTTCATAAGGTATAGTTTCAACCCTGGGAGTCAACAAAACACAGGCCATGTCTCCACCAGCACCTCCTCACACACAACACTCTCCTCAAACTCTTCACAGCTCACATGGTTATCAGAGATCTTCAAGATTGACAGAAAGACCTCCCCAAAAAAGAAATATTTGTCAGACAACGTCTCCTTACTGTGGATATTATTTGACTTTTCACCCTTGGCATGTCACAAGCAAGAGCATTTCTTACAGTGACAGTTGAAAGAAACATGTCTTGAAAGCCTTTCTCTTTCCAGCTGTAAACAGGAAAGGCAACAAATGTAACAGGCAGGCAAATAGGACAGATCTGATTTTACACACTGTATCGGAGGTAAAGGCCCATCTTGAGATCCTCAAAACAGAAAGGCGGATAGTTAACTCCTGCAGAAATTAAGACTAAAACACTCTTTTAGATCATGTAACTAAGAGTAGGAGACTTAATTCAGTTGTTTATGAGGAAATGAACACACAGCTTGCTCTTCCCAAAGCTCCCACATGACCTTTGTCATAATTACATAATTAAGTTTTGCAGTTACACAATTATGACAACATAAAAACACAAACAAAAAACCCCCCAGGGCTCTCCATGCATCAGGAATACGTCTTCCCGTCAAACACTTTGGGAAGGAAATCCTCACATTGCAAGGTACTACAGGTGGGTAATGAACCCAAAACCAAGAAAAGCATTCCCTTGTGTCCTTCAACAGACCCTCCTGCGCTTGCAGGACTCAAATCCCCGACCCATCACATTATCTAGGATGCTCTTTGAACCATCTAATTTACAAGTACGTGGCACATAAAGCCCAGTTTATCAGACCATTTCTCTTCAATCCACCCACTTCACAGAGATATCTTTACATTTCTGCATAAAGATACATTTGTCTGCTCACTCATTTTCTGTGAAGAAACCTCAAAGTTCTAAAAGGAAAAGAGGAGCAGTGAGTGCTCCAGTGAATGTATGCAGATGTCCACAGTGGGTCAGTGAAGGTCTGTATAGGGGCAATCACCCTCTCCTTACATCTCCCTCTACACCTTGAGTCTCTCCCCTCACACTCACTCAAGGCTCTTGCCATGACATGTCTTTCATAGCCAAGGCACATCTGGTCCCATTTCACATGGTTCAGCCTCAAAAGATAAGAAATCAGCAAAACACCCCTGCCATTTCCTCCCGCATTTCCTCCTCCACAGGCAGCCACCCACAACTCCTTTTTGAGCAGTCACAACTTTCAACACGATCCTTCATCTTCATAACAGGCAGACAGACATCATCAAGGCACCAGTTGTTGTCCGGCCCATTTCTCTACTGGAAACACAAGGAGCAAAGTATGGATGAATGCAAAGACATTTCCTACTGACCTCCATTATGTATCGAGACACATGAAGGCTACAACAGTACAAATGATAAGAAGCAGAGTTACATACGGTAAAGTCAATATTGCAATCTAGAGAACCTCACCCAAATCAAGTGCATGTGCCGTTGGGAAACAACCTGAACCTGCAAAGAGCGCAAACTACAATTTGCTAGTAAGGCAACACATCTGTACAGAAGACTAAAGACTGAAAGGAACACAGGGGTGTTACATGTCAGGGCACAGAAAGGACTTGGTGCATGATGAAAACACAAAGCCTCGCTCAAACTTCCAGCCACCATCAGCCTCACTACACCTGCCTCCCCAGCAACCTGGAAGACTGAGCAAGGACCCACGTCCACTCCCACCAAACCACAGAGTGTCAATGCACGAACCTCTGTCAGCTTTGTCAGCAACCTTCCGTACACAGAAAACAAAATACGGCGGGGAAAGAGCAGCAGAGCAGAAGGAGAAGCTTCGCAGAAACACTTTGGTCAGAAGAACTCACCGGAAGAGGGGCGGGGTCCGCCTGCTGGGGACCGGCAGGTTCCTCGTCTCCGAGCAGCGGCGCGGGCTCGTCGGGCGGCGGCCGGGCCGGCAGGGTGTCGCAGCAGCTGTCGGCCGAGAAGCGGAGGTGGCTCTTGCGCGAGTCGGCCGTGAGAGACACGTCGTGCGAGTAGGAGTGCAGGAAGGCGCGCACGCCGTCGATGCCCACGAAGTGCGTGGCCGGCACGCCGCGCAAGGCGCCGCTGCCCGCCGCCAGCAGCTGCTGCTGCGAGCGCCGCCAGCGCCGCAGGCGCAGCGCCAGCAGCAGCAGCAGGAAGGCGACGAAGAGGCACGACACGGCGGCCACGGCCAGCACCAGCCAGCGCGTCAGGCTGCCGCCCGCCTCGCCCGCCCCCGCCTCCGCCTCCGCCCGCGCCGCGCTGCCCAGCTCGGCCAGCAGCTCGGCCACGCTCTCGGCCAGCACCACGCTCAGCGTGGCCGTGGCCGACAGCGCCGGCCGCCCGTGGTCCTTCACCAGCACCACCAGGCTCTGCCGCGACGCGTCGCGGGCCAGTGGCGAGCGCGCCGTGCGCACCTCGCCGCTGTGCAGCCCCACGCGGAACAGCCCCGGCTCCGTCGCCTTCGCCAGCTCGTACGACAGCCACGCGTTCTGACCCGCGTCCGCGTCCACCGCCACCACCTTGGCCACCAGCGCGCCGGCCTCGCTCGACCGCGCCGCCAGCTCCACGCCCGACCACACCGAGCCCGACACAGCCGCCCCCGCCGCCGGCGGGTACAGCACCTGCGGCGCGTTGTCGTTCTCGT